GTCCCATCCATTTCTTTCCGACAGTCAAAAACCTTGAGAGTGATCTTTGATCAGAACCTCTCTTGGAACAACCACATTTCCCAGATTACCCGTAAATCCATAACTATCCTTAAACTATTTTGTGATTCCATTCCAAAAAAATCCAGACAGCTCCTATTAACATCCCTTGTCTTCCCCCACTCCGACTACGGTTGCCTGGTGTATGGAGGGCTGTCCACAGAAATGGAGGCGAGACTTAAGAAAATTATGAATTGCTTCATAAGATTCATATTTGGGATTCCCAAGCGTTCTCATATATCTTGTTGGTACAAGATATATCCCTTATACTTCCCTACAGCAATTCCTACTTGGTGTTTTCCTTTTTCAAGTTCTCAGAAGCAAAAACCCTCCCTACATCTTAGAACTCCTTACTTTACGCTCCTCTATCCACTCCCTCAATACCAGATCTCAACCTATGGATTTATATATCCCCTCCCATAAAACCACTTCCTTCAGTAAATACTTCATCATTCGTGCTACCTCCTTTTGGAACTCCTTACCCATCTCCATACGTCAAACCACGTCCATAAACTCCTTCAAACAACTCCTATTCCACCACCTACTACAAATTAAAACTTTAATCAATCAAATTAAAGCTTGTAAAAATTTCTGGGTCATATACTTACGTTGGCCACCAGCAGTTAATTGATTGAAGTCATTTTATTTTTATTTATTAATGTTTTTATATCTCAGTATTTTATTGTGTATATCGTTATTATATTTTGTAGATATATATATTTTCCTTGGTACTTTTATTAATTTTATATATATATATATATATATATATATATATATATATATATATATATATATATGTGTGTGTGTGTGTGTGTGCGCGCTTACACTTTCCTATGTATTTTTTGTATATATTTGTATAATACTTACATGTCAGACTAAGGTACATATTCTGTAAACTCTACTATTATTCTAAGGGTACTTCAGTCCCAGAATAAAATTATTTTTCATTTCATATTTATTCTGATGACTTCCAAATATATCTGTCCTTCTCGCCTTCCAATCTATTACCAGCCACAGAAAACTTTAAGAAGACATAAATAGAATCTATGACTGGACAGAAGCTAGAATAAAACCCACATTCTAGACAAAAAACATAAGAGCTCAACGATATGGTCAGCTATATAGACTACAGAATAGAAAATCTCAACTTTCTATTGACAACAAATTGCTGATCTACGTGGCAATCTCGAAATCTATTTAGACCTATTGACTAGAACTATGGAGACTGCAAAATTCTATAACATCAAATGTATCTAATAATTAATGAAAATATTAAAAAACAAACACCTAATATGATTTGATATCATCTATAAATGGTCAGAATATAAGACAAGGAGTTTATTTATAAAACATGAATAAATATGGAACTAATGATTTATTAATCTTAGAGAAGTATAACAACTTATTTAGGACTGCAGATAGGGTAGAAAATTTAACTAAATATAAGATTCCAAATAAAATTATAAATCTGTTAGCATTGGGAGATAAATTTAGTTTTGATAACAACATTCTTGACGATGATATTACTCAGTTGATTGCAGGTTTAGAGAAAATTTAGGCAGTTTTATACATCAGAACGCCACATTAACGGTACTAGAAATCACACACGTAATATAATTAATGAATATATATAAAAATTTTAAATAATCTAAAAAATTTGATATTAAATAACCGAATAAATAAAGATTTAAACAGCTTTAAAAACTTTATAAATATTAAAAAAGAAATAATAATGATAAAACCTGGCAAAACCAAGATATTGGTAATTATGAGAAGAAATGAATATATATCAAAAATGGAAGACTTATTAGACAGTAAAACAGTATAAAAAAATATGAGAAATAATCTGTGTATAGAATTAGTAGGAAAAAATTGATATTTATGTTAATAAATTACAAAAATGTGGATACATAGATAAATACATTTAAAATAAATTGATACTTACGTTAATAAATTACAAAAATGTGAAAACAGAGAAATACATTAAAAATAAATTGGCAAGCAAGAATTATATTGAACCACGAATACACGGGCTCATAAAACTACACAAAAAAAAAAAATACATGAGACTGATAGTTAATAACATAAATGGGCCAAATTATAATTTATCCGAATTCTTTAAGCCTTCAGTAATGAATCTAAACAGTGATATGAATTTTGATGTAATAAATTCGATTGAAGTAAGAGACAAATTGAAGAAATTGAATTTAGACGAAAATTTCAAATATGATATGTGAGTTTTGACGTGAAGGAATTCACTAACATTCCAATAGATGAATGCATAAAAATTATAGAAGAAAACTGGATAAAGGATCAGACATAAAAAATAAAAGTATTTTTATGGAAGGTTTAAAATAATGTTTGGGCAATAACTTCTTTAAATTTAATGACAATTATTAAAAACAGGTAAACGGTCTAATTATGGGAAATAGGTTATCGGTATTACTAAGTGGTTATTTTTAAAATAAATTGTTAACTCAACAAATTGATAAAATGGAGGAAAATTATTGTGCTGAAATATATAGATGACTTACTCCTTATCACAAAAAATAAAAGTTAAATATCAATATAGTAATGAATAATTATAAAATAGAAACATATTGGATCAAAAAAAGAGAAATGATGCGATCTAATATTAAATTACCACTCGAATCATCCGAAGCACCAAATTGTAAATACTGCAGTTAACTTAATTAAAAAAGCAATAAAACTAACGGACACTAATTTGATAAAGACAGTCAAAAACGATATATATAATATTTTGGTTAATTATTTTTATCCATTTAAATTCATCAACAAACACTGGTACAAACATATTAATAAAAAAAAAGATGATAAAATGAAATATAATAGGTGATTTAATATACCAAATAGTTTTAACATAAAAAATGGTAATAGTAATATAAATAAAGGATGTAAAAATAAAAATCTCATAACCGATTATTTTTAAATATTAAATAATAAAGAAAATGCTTATAAAGGCAATCAGAATAATATAGAAAAACAAAACAGAAAAAATAACAAATACTACAAACTATAATATATCCCAAGATTGAGGGACAAAATTAAAAAAATGTTTTAAAAATACAATTATGATGACCTAAATTTTGGGCTTATAACAATAATAAACTAGAAAAACATATTTCGTATATGAAGGATAGGATCAAAACAATAGGCAAAAAAGACATCATATTTAAAATTCAATGTATGCAGTGCCCTAAACAATATATCGGTGAACCGTCATAAAATTAAAAAAATAGCGCTAAGCAACATAAATCAAATGCAGAAAAACTAAAGAACCACAGCCTTATCCAACCATAGCATTATGAACAACCACACTTTTGACTTTAATAATGTAAAAATTTTAAACAGAGCGGAAAACAACAACTAGAATAATACTCGAATCTATATACATAACTAAAAATATAAATAATACAGTAAATTTCAAAACAGATGTTAAAAATATTGGGCAACATTATATATAACAAATTATATATTAAATGAAATAAGTTTCTAATTAGAATAAAATCATCAACAATGCTATATCCCATTTATATTACCTAATTCCTAAAGGGACATACATCCCTTAACAGCTCAAATGTTGTAGTCCATATTAAACAATAGTGAGAAAAGGTAGTGCCGAGTTCCGTGTGAGTATACATATTAAATAAAATAAACATAAGAATCCAGAATTGTAAATATTTTAATTTTGAAATAATCACACATTGGAATCTTTTTTATTTTTTTAGAATTAACAAGCATAGTATAATATGTGAATAAAATGGTACATTGTTATAGAACAGAAATAAGATATAATAGAAAGATTTTGAAATTATGGAATTTCGGTAACTTCTCACTGTATTGGTATCATACATACAATTGTCATTAGATAATTTATGATTATTATTAACAATGTTTTTGTAACAATTTGTAGATAACTTCAAAATGAGCCAAACTGCTCGAAACGTCGTTAAAAATTAAATAAATTGTTAAACTATAAGGGCTTATATATATCCTTAGAGACACCATTTGAAAGAACTTAGCTTTTGTTTAGCAACTCATAAGTCCTCTTTAAATAGTTTAAACTATGACAAGCTTTACTGTAATTTGAAGTAAATTTTGTTTAGTTTACTGTGAAGTAATTTTTAATTACTTAAATTAAATATTTTTTTATTTGTTGCTTCCTATTCAACAGAAAATGTGACTTAATTAAAAAAAAAAACAATACTTAAATTTCTATTTTGCTGAAAATCGGACCAGTGTTTGTATAAAGATTTTTGAAACTCTTGGGTTCTGCTATTACCCCCATAAATATTTCCCTCTACTTACGGAACATCTTGTATACAGGTATTAGGACAGTGGTATTTAAGTGATATGTGTCCTAACAACGCTATCACGAGATCGTGCGATATTTTGATAGTAAAGACAATCTTAAAATAAAAGGTTTAGGTTATGTTTGTTCCACCATTTTTATTTGTATTTTTATTTTCTTATTACTCAGGCAACATTTTGGCTATGTCACCATTTTCAAGCCACTTTAAGATTAATAATGATGTTCATTGTGTTAGTCTTACATGTTAGTTATTTAGTCCTTAATTGTATTATAATATTGAGGACTGCACAACTAAAATGTTGGACTAATATAATGAACATCATTATTAATTTTATAGATGGCTTGAAAAAGGTTGACTTAGCCGAAACGTTTCCAGTGTTATAAGAAAATAAAAATAAAAATGGTGGAACAAACATAACCTAAATCTTTTATTATGAATCTAACTTCACCTTTAAACTAAAATATATAGAAACAAAGACTTATTTCCCAGAGTAGTCATTATATGGAATGTTTCCATTTTGAAAAGTTTCAATATTATGTGTTCAACTTACATCTGTTACATATTCATATGGTATCATAATGTGTGTTTTTTTTTTTTGTTTTTTTATAGCAACCTAAAGAAATTGCACAAAATAAAAAGATTGAACAACCAAATATGATGAAAAATATAATAAAACCCAAAATCTTGAATACAGTGGAAAAGGAAGCTGAGAACTCCATATCAAATGTTCTGAATGAAACAAACCTCAAGAAAATAACTGATAAGAAATCAAAGGTAAAATTATTGGAAAAAATATCTGAACCAGAAATTTCTGTTGAACCAATTTCAAAAGATAATGAAAAAAAAATTAAAATTGAAGCAAAAGTCGAAAAGAAAAAGCAAACAGATATTTCAAGTGTCCGGAAGGCAGTAAATCGCACAGCTAGTAAGTTCCATTTGTTATATATTTTAATTTTTGATCAGTAAATTTGAGATTTTATTTCTCTCTCTCTTCCTCTCCCTCTCCCCCTCCCCCTCAACAAACAATAAAAATAATAATTGTTTAAAAATCAGTTAAAAATTTAAGAATTTAAAATTAAAAAAACAACAATGTATATACACATATCCATATCACATTAGTAAATTTAATATATTGCCTAGAGTATAGCGATAAGAACCCTAAGAAGTACATCAACTTCGTTATTTTCTGATCCTGCCCAATATCCTCGCTCAAAAGCAGGTACCTTAACATACAGCTAGGTGCAAATTTTCAACTTGATTGGACGAAAAATACCTAATCATAGACGATGATGACATGGAGCCAATCTTTCTCTCTCACCGGCTCGAGTGCAAACTCCTGGAAGAGTAGATTCCAAAAGTAAACAAAAGTACCCAGCAAAATATGGAACACGACTGGAAGATTTCCTAGAACAAAACCGGTGAATTGTTGAATTGTTCGCTGAGTTGTTTTGTTTACTTTTGGAACCTACTCTTCCATGAGGAGTTAGCACTTAAGGCATTTATAACCTATGTCTATTCTATGATCAACTATTGAGTATACAATAAATAAAGGAATAACTTTAATGTCATTTTTCTACCTTTAGGTTACTAAATCAAAAAGAACAGTTTTAGGTTGTCAAATATAAAACATGTATATTAGGTTTTATTTAAATTATAATGTTTATGTATTTGTGTGTGTGTATATATATATATATATATATATATATATATATATATACACAAATTTTAACTATATATATAAATATATATTTATTTATATATTTTTATTTTTTTTAATTTCAGGTATTGAGAAGCAAGTCATAAATGTTAATTCTGTTCTGGCTGTAATTCGTAAAGCTGAACTTTCTCGTTCAGAAATTCAGCTTCTTATTGATACTTTGCTAAACTCGTATGAAGATGAAACATCTGATTGGTTGAAAGTAAAAAAGCTGGATTCAGTATGTTTTTTATTTTGTTTTGTTTTTCATTTTTTGGGAGTATTTTAAATGTAGAGTTGCTTGACAGGATTCACTATCTTCGAAAAGAAATCATTTGCTTCAGTTTGTTACTAGTTAACATGTTAAGTACCAATCATAATGAAACAGACCACAAAGTGCAATGAAATAACATTTCAAAACATTAATTTTATTTACAAATTGAAATATAAGCTTTGTAAATTAATCTATTCATTGAGCTTATTGAGATTCACAGAGAGAGTTAAATTGTTTAAAGGTTGCTAATTATAATAAGGTTCATCTTTGGCCTAAATATTCTAGTAAGCATAAATTGCCATAGAAAAAAAAAAAACTTCACTATTTCAAAAAGTATGAAATAAATATTAAAAGTGATTAAATTATTTAAAAATAAGGATATCTTTATTTATACACCTCTTCATTTCGCTATGCCCAAATTGCAGATAATGCCATGCCCTCTTTCAATGTCATTGAAAATTTGTGCTATACTTTATCTTATATTTATTATAAACGTCTGTTTATAATTAATAATTTTTCATCTATATAGGCTATAGGCAAACAGAGGATACTCCATTTGAGAAATACTCAGAAACAGATAATTTCACAACTGTTCCTACGATAGTCCAATAAAATTAGGAATTGTTCCCAACATCAAAAAAATAAAGATAAAACTTGTCAGAAATTGTTTATTACCCTCCCCATAATAACTGGTAAAAAGTCCCAAAGAAGAAAAACAGAAAACTGATGTTTTTTTTTAGAATATCTCAAAAACTATGAGGTTTCTCACAAAGCTTACTCAGTACAATATTTTAAGTACTTTAAAATCTCTATAAAAATTATCCTGTACATTTTTTTGATTTAATGATTGACTATATAAAGTGGACTTTTAAGCAGTCAAACTATGGTAAGTTCGTTTTTCATAAAATCAAGAGTTCTTCACTTTTTTTTTTTTTCTAACTCCCCAAGTGAACTGAAGACCACACACTTTAGAAAAACTTCCTTGTTTAGTGAGCTTTAAATCTATATTAATTAAGTTGAATTTTGTTGCAGAGTAAGTTGAGATTTCATCTGTAATTGAGTATAAAGGTTGTCAGTACAGTAAAATTATGATTATAATTATATTTAATTTATATAAGATTAAACTAAATTATATAAGATTAATTATTTTTTATAAAGCCCTTATTTAATCTCACAGTCCTTACTTAAAATTTTAAAACAATATTACAATTTTTTAAAAATTATTGTTTTTCAACGTTTAGGCTCCAAGAATCATTTTCAAAAAATCTTTTTCTTTAAAAAAAAAAAAAAACAACAAAACTAAACATTAAAATAACATTATTACTAAAAAAAATTGTAAGATTGCGGAGCCTGAGACCAATCGTGCTCTGAGGTCATAGAAGAAGTGCTTCCCGGCCGAATTGGTACTACGGAACGTCGCCGGAGCCCTGGCGGCGCTTTGGGTGGAAGGCTAGAGTGCTTGCACTGCTTGGCCGTGGCGGTCGTAGTGGTTGATGTGTTTGCGATTGCTCGCTGTACGACACCAGTGTTCAGCTGGTCGTGACGTTCGGATCAGTCATCTGGTATAGTGTACAGACGAGCGGTCGAAAGCTTGAGTGTAGGATTTATGTCCGTTCCGTGGGCACCGGTTGTGTGCTTACATCTTGTGGTCCTATCCAGGCTGTTGGGCCAGGCTGGGGCTGGTTAAGACCCTCGGGTCAGATATGGCCTCAGCTGGTGCCTTTCAATCTATAGCATAGGCGTATGCCCTCTGTAATTGAGTATAAAGGTCGTTAGTACAGTAAAATTATGATTATATTTTTATTCAATTAGAGATGATTCTCAACTTACTCTGTCACAAACCTCATCAAACAAGGAAGTTTTTTGTAAATTGTGGCATCTTCAGTCCAGTTGGGGAGGATTAGAAAAAATTTCATGAAGAATTCTTGATTTTATGAAAACCGAACTTAGCATAGTTTGACTGCTTAAAAGTTCACTTTAAATGGTTTTATAAAGTACTTGAATTGAATATAAATTGTATCTAGTTTACTATGATGTAATTGGCTGTAACCTAAATTAAACATTTATTTAGTTATTGCTTTTTATTCAACATAGATGTGGTTAAAATAAAAAAGTTCCATGGTTCTCTGAATGAAATCAGACCATGGTTTATAGTAATATTTTGTAGGTTTTAAGATCTGCTATCACATAATATCAATTATATGAAGTCAATGTCAGTATCAACTTCATATCAATATCATAAATTATTCCTCATTGACAGATATCGAATATAATTCTGTTTTCAATGATTTTTTAGAATCATCAAAAGAAAGAAACTTTGAATAATAACTTGAACTATCGAAAATGTTAAAAAAGCAAATTAAACTTCAAAAAAGTATCATCTACTATAATCAACATTTATTTCATGATTTGCGACAATTTCCGCTTGAAGTGGAAATAAAATAAATATAATCTCATTAATATCTATGTAGCCATTGATTTTATCAAAAAAATGTATAGGGTAATTTTTATAGAGATTTTAAAGTACTTTAATATTGTACTGAATAAGCTTTAGAAGAAACCTTATAGTTTTGGAAATATTCTTAAAAAAAAAAACATATCAGTTTTCTATCCTTTCCTCCCCCACTCCCCCATTAAAACCCGACATGGGATTCTTTGGGTCTTTTTACCAGTTATTATTGGGAGACTTTACTGGACTAGGAGGATCGTGGTCAAGAGGAGAGATCACTTCTACTAATGGGCAGGGTTACTTTAAAGAATATGATGTATACAGGATATACACTGACAGGCAAAAAATTCCACCCACTTGATTTTTTCATGTTTTCATCTAAAAATATCTCTTACTTAAAAATACCTTCTATTGTAAGAACCAGTTTCCCGAAAACGCCTGACGGCGTCTCGTAAACTTTCATATGGAACTCCGATGGCATTAGCTACATATCTAATGGAACGTCCATCATCAATAAGTGCCACACCACGCGCAACATCCTCAGCACTAAGAGGCATTTTTAAACTTAATATTGAAAAAATTAAAAGCCGGAAACTAAGAAATGTGCTGCAAGAAACGGCACTGAACTAATGATACTGAATAAACATTTTGATTCCATAGAAAGTAAACATTGGAATCTAGAATCATTTCATTGAATTAAGGATTAAGGGTTATTGTCCTCTATATTAACATTCCTTGAAAACAAACAAAAAGATTACCTATTTATTCATTAAAAATAATAGACCAATCCAAAGCAGAAATATTTTTAGATAAAAACATGAAAAAATCAAGTGGGTGGAATTTTTTGCCTGTCTATGTATAAGGACTGTATACAGGTCACTATTGGCTGAATGAATACTTTTAACGTTTGAATGAATAATAAAATCCTTGGATACGCAGGTGATACAGCTGTCCTTGGAAGTAATCAAGAGGACATTGAGATACTCTCTAAGACTCTGAAAAGAGAGGCAGAGCAGATCGGCTTACGAGTAAATGAAGACAAAACAAAATATATGATAAGCCTAAAATTCCACCCCAATAACAGGATCTGCATAGCAGTAAAATCATTCCTGAGAGTTGAAAAATTCAAATACCTCGGCTTCACAATAACCTCAATGAACGACCAATAGGCAGAAATATACCAGCGTATAACTAGCGCAAACAGAGCTTTTTTCTTCCTTTCAAAGGTATTCTAAAAAATCTCAAGAAATCCCAAATTAAGGGTGTTCAATGATGTGATGAAGCCAGTTCTCATATATGGTTGTGAGACCTGGAAACTCTAGAAAAAATGTTGAAAGATTTGAGAGAAAAATCCTCTAAACGATAATGGGAGCGACCTGGGATCAAAGTACTTACACATAGCGAAGAAAGACCAATAAAAAACCGCTTACAGAAACTGGTCAATCAATATCCCATGATATGAAGGCTCAGAGGTTAAGTTGGGCGGTGCATGTAGCTCGTAACAATCTATCTGGAAACCTTTAACAATGAATACCTCAATAGAAGGCAAAAAAATCACATGGAAAACCAAAAATCAAATGGATAGAAAGAATCAACAAAGATGCAATAGAGCTGCGTGCAGATGAATGAAATGAAATAGCCCAAGACAAGCAGAGATGTTGCAGGCTTGTTGAGCTGGCAAAAGATCTACATAGTCTGTAATGGCTACAGAAAAAAAATAAGAAAATTATGGGGTGGGTAAGAAACAATTTCTGACAAGTTTCGTCTTTATTTTTTGAATTTTCAGAGGCAAGAGGAGAGCATAACTTCTACTAATGGACAGGGTTACAATAAAGACTGTAATAGGACTGTATACAGGTCACCATTGGCTGAATGAACACCTTTAAACCACCGATTTGCAGGTTCTGCAATATGAAGGACGATACTGTTTATCAGATATGTAGAAATGATGTTCTAGCTAGAATGAAATAAATACATTTTGGCTGTAACCACATTATAAATCCTAAGTTCTGGAAATTTATTGATCCTGACAGTATAAACAGATTTGCATGTGCTTTTGGCCTGTGTAAACAGAGGAAAGAATGGCAGACAAGCTTTCACGAGGCTGTGGTGCATCCATGCCAGGAAGAAATTATGGTCTGTTAATATTAATGATTGTTTATTTTAGCTTGATAAGGTTCAATATACTAAAAAAGATAGCTACTTAAATAATAATCTATTACTGGAAGACAATATCTTGATTACATGACAATTATCCAAGTATGCTTGTAACTTGTCATTCCTCAGACTGTTTACCATAATGGTTCTTATTCCTTTTGCAATAGCAGTTGCTCACACTACACTCAAACAATTAGACTATAATCTAGAAGTATTTGATTTTAACTCAATTTATATAATTGATAGATAAGTAACTTATACTAGTTAGCTGGAATGTTTTACAGAACATGATGATCACCTAATGCTTAAAGGCACCCTATGGTACTTAACGTGTTAACAGTATATTATATCAGTAATTTCATCTTATCAACAAAAGAATTAATAGCATGATTGTATTTCTTAACTATAACACAACTTTCTCCAATTTTAATTAAACAAATGTTTTCATTGTCTTCATCAAATGCCTTTGAATTAGCCCAGGCAACCAAAGCATTTTTAGAGTATGTCTCCTTACTCTTATATAGTTCTTGAGTTTATATTAATTTTTAGTTTTTGTTTGTTTATAATATGGATTATTCTGTAATTAGTATTATCGGGTTACTTTTTTTATTATGTATCTGTAATATTTCTCTTTCTCAGTGGATAAGTAATTAATTTGAGAAAAAATAGTTTAGTCCAGCAGTAATTTAAGTGAATAAGTAATTAATTTGAGAAAAATTAGTTTAGGCCAGCAGTAATTGTAAGAGTTAATTTTTGCAACTTTGTCAGGAACAAAATTACAATACAGTTGAGAAATATCACAGTACAAAATCATGAACATATCCTTAAGAAGCTAATTTTTGGATGGTTATCAAACACATTGAAACTACTCCCTTGAAAAGTTTTAAATTGTTAGGATATAATTTGTCAGGGCTACATAAATACTTATTTGTGTATACTAGCATATAAATGTATATTTATGTGATTCTCTTTGTTTAATAAATATAAATCTATTTTCAGGGGCGCCAGGATTCTACTGCCAAATTAAAAAAACAGTTGCTGGAGTTGGAAACATCTTTAAAAAATGAAAAGCAAATTACATTAAGCTTGCAAGGAAAACTTAAGGAATTGAGGACTGACATGGCTTCAGGTTTTATTATTATTTTTGTTTTAATCTCATTAAGTACTTGTTTCACTACATAACACCAAGCTTATAATAATAATAAGTTATTTATTTATTCTAGTACAAGTCTCTTAAGAATATCATTACAGGAAATTATCCTGTGCGCACTAGAGCCCTCAGAATAGAAAAAAAAGAGAAGTAATTTATCTATAAATGTAATGAAATAATAAGAAATCATGCAATGACTTTTAATGTTAAGAAAGCAAAATAGGATTTTGTGTAAAATCTCAATGCCATTTAAAAAAAAGTTAGGAAAAAATTAAACAAACATGAATAATAATAATTTATATAGATAGATAGATAGATAGATAGAAAAATAATTTTATTCTGGGGCACAGTCCCTTGAGAATAACAAAATAGAACAAAATTAAAAGATCACATCTGGCCAAAATAAAATCAATGGAAAAAAAGAAATAATGTAAAAAAAATATAAGGTAAACATTCTATATAAAAAAAAACGAAACTATATACAAAACAATTATTACTATGACAAGGCACTTAAAGCTATTTGCACTAGTATACACTTTTAAGAAAATAATAAAGAATTAAAAAATAAAAATGTATCAATGAATCAATCAATGAATTTGTATGTATCAAATTCTCTATTAAAATCAGCTCGAATGGTTAGCAACTATCTGACTGTTCTTGGGATAGGAATTGGAATAGGAGGATTTTGAATTTGGATATGGATGGGGAATGTCGAATTTTGATAGGGAGGGAATTCCAGAAATTGACAGAGCGAACAACAAAGGAATTTTGGAATGAGGCAGATCTGTGAGAAGGCATGTAAAGATTAGAAGGTCGAGATCTTGTGGACAGGGAATGGACTGAGGATTTGAACTGGAGAAGATTGTAGGCGTAAGAAGGACGATGACTGTTGATGATTTGGTAGAGGAACGTACCTAGGAAATATTGTCTTCGGAAGGAGTGGAAAAGCCACTTTAACTCAGCATAGTGGTGAGAAACATGGGAGTATCTTGGGGCCCCAATCACAAATCTTACACAGCTGTTCATTAGTCTTTTCAGTCTATCACGGAGCTCCACAGAGAGGCCATCATACACCACACAGCTATAGTCAAAGTGGGGGAAAATGAGAGAGGAAACTAGGAGTCTACGCGTATGTTGAGGTAGGAGATGGCGGAAGCGATGGAATAGTTTGAGGGTGGAAATTGTCCGTCGAGAGATATGAGAAATATGGTGATTCCAAAGGAGGTTTTGATCAATGAAAAATCCTAAGTTTTTAACAGAGGAGTAGAAGGAGATTGGCTGGTCATTAAGGTGAAGATGGAAGTCTGATGGGATCTAAGAAGGGGCTTGGAAGCAATGACAATGGCCTGAGTTTTGGCGGCATTTAACCTTAATCCATTTACATTTGCCCAGGCACTGATTCGATCTAGGTCTTCTTGGATCTTGGCAAATGCCCCCAGTAACTCAGGAGGGGAAAATGATAGGTAGATCTGTGAATCGTCTGCATAAAGGTGATGGGAACAATGGAGAATTGATTTAGGTAGGTCGTTAATGTAGGAGCTGAAAAGGAGAGGAGATATGCTTGAACCCTGGGCAACTCCAGAGGATAAAGAAAGGAAGGCAGATAGTGGTTGGTTGGGTATGGAGACTGCTTGGGTACGTTGTGAGAGGAAAGATTGAAACCAAGAGATGGAACTATTGGAGAAGGATAATAATTTCAGTTTGTTGAAAAGGATGGAATGGTTAATGGAATCGAAGGCTTTGGAGAAGTCGAGAAGGATAAGGATGGTTAACTTTTTATCATCTATTGCAGTTTGAATGTCGTTGGTGATTTTAATTAAGGCGGATTGTGTGGAGTAGCTGGGACGGAAACCAGATTGGAGAGGATCAAGTTGGTTGGACTTTTCAAGGAAGTTGGAGACTTGGGATTGCACCAATCTTTCTAGGGGTTTCGAGAGGTTGGAAAGAATTGAGATTGGGCGGAAATCTTCGGGTGAGGTCGGATTAGAATTTTTATTTAAAGGAAGGACAATGGCTTGTTTCCAAGATGTAGGGAATACTGAATTCTGAAGGGAGAAATTGTAGATGAAAAGAAGGACTGGGAGGATTTCAGGAAGACATAATTTTATTAGTTTGACAGGGATGCCGTCAGGTCCTATGGAATTGGTGTGGGATTTCATTACAGCGGTTAAAAGGTCTGTAGGGGAAATGTTGGAAAAATAAAAGTTATTGTCGTTAAATGGTATCTCTATTGGGAAGTCAGAACAGGAGGATAAAGGAGAGGTATTAGCAACAGATATAAAATGCGAGTTTAGATCATCAGGGGATATTGGAAAGGCTGGAGTAGGGGATCGGGAAGGATCACAAAGGGAGAGTTTACGAAGCAGTCGCCATTTTGATTTTATGTCAGGAGTTGAGGAAAGGGCTTCGTGGAAGTAGAGGGACTTCGCACGCCGGATCCTTGTTTGTGTCAAGTTGCGAAGCACCCTGAACGCTTGGTAGTCATCTGCAAGCCTAGTATGTCTGAAGCGTCTACGAGCAGCGTCGCGCCTCTTCTGCAGGTCTTTAATTTCCTGACACATCCAAGGAGCAGGCCGGTGACGAAATACTATATACATATAATCTATTTCCATTCGAGCTGATTTTAATAGAGAATTTGATACATACAAATTCATTGATTGATTCATTGATACATTTTTATTTTTTAATTCTTTATTATTTTCTTAAAAGTGTATACTAGTGCAAATAGCTTTAAGTGCCTTGTCATAGTAATAATTGTTTTGTATATAGTTTCGTTTTTTTTTATATAGAATGTTTACCTTATATTTTTTTTACATTATTTCTTTTTTTCCATTGATTTTATTTTTGCCAGATGTGATCTTTTAATTTTGTTCTATTTTGTTATTCTCAAGGGACTGTGTCCCAGAATAAAATTATTTTTAATCTATCTATCTATCTATCTATATAAATTATTATTATTCATGTTTGTTTAATTTTTTCCTAACTTTTTTTTAAATGGCATTGAGATTTTACACAAAATCCTATTTTGCTTTCTTAACATTAAAAGTCATTGCATGATTTCTTATTATTTCATTACATTTATAGATAAATTACTTCTCTTTTTTTTCTATTCTGAGGGCTCTAGTGCGCACAGGATAATTTCCTGTAATGATATTCTTAAGAGACTTAAGGTTTAGACATGTAAATTGGTCTATTTGAGGGGGAGGGGGCTTCAAATATTAATATACTCCCAATTCTCAGTTCAATCACGCATTAAGTTTTGTAACTTTTAGGATTTATTCAATATTAGGATCCATTATTATGTTGTTGGGGATGCGTCTCATGAAAATATTGTCGGATTACAGATTGCGCATCACGTTTTTGTAACTTTTATGATTTAGTCGATATTAGGATCCCGTTATTATATTTTCGGGGGCACTTTTCATGAAAATACTGTTGGATTTCAGATTATGCAATCGCACATCACGTTTTCCTAACTTTTAGGATTTAATCGATATTAGGGTCCATTATTATGTTGGGAGAGCTTTCTATGAAAATAATAATAATGCTTTATTTATTCTGGGACAAGTCCCTTTAGAATAATATACAGAGATGGAAATGTGGGCTTTGGAGCCTCAGAGAATAATTACAAAATAAACAGATTTATATAATGAATAGATAAAAGAAAAGAATATTATTTACCTCCAATCTTCAATTAAGAGAAAAAAATGAAATAAAAGTATTTAAAACAAACTAATTATTTATATACATATTTACAACATCTATTTACAATTTTATGAGAACTGATATAATTTTAATAGAATTTAAGCCTATAATTTAATTTATAAGTCGACTTAAATGAGGGTCTTCATAAAGATAATTAAGACTATTTAAGCATTGAAATAATATACACATAATATAGATAGGATTAAAAAGATTTAGCTAAGGAATTTAAAATAAATGTAGAAGTTTACTGGCTGGTGAGTGGAATAAATCCCTAAAATAAGTTTAGTATGCACAAACAGTTATTAACATTAAAATATCAAATTTTAAACTGATTTCTAATTCCTAGTGCTGTTTGGAAGGAGGGAAGGCAAAACCTATCACCAAGATTGTGTTATCCCTACTCTAAAATATGGTGGGGGAAATATAATGATTTGGGGCTGTATGGAGGCCTAAGTGTTGGAGAAATGTTTTTATGGGTAGAGAGGATGATTTTATTCCACAGTTATGAATTTTGATTTTATATCCAATATTATTTTTCGAAATATTGGGAACCGTATTTTCACCCCCTCTCTATTTTTTGGGGGAGCGAGTGATCGCCCATCCTAAGTCTGTATCTATACTTATTAAATTTAAAATTTTTGTTGTTAACGGTGATTCTACAAAGAAAGGCAACTTTTTTTCATTTTTAAAAGTAGAGTGGGAAAAAATAAACTAAAAAGATTGTTCAAGACTTGTTTAATCTATACCAAAAAGGATAAGTGAGGTCATAAAAGCCAAAGGCTTGATGAAAAAAAAAATTAATTTGACTATGTTTAAATAAACATATGTTATGAAAGTAGATGTTATTTTTATTCCCCTTTACATTATTTTTATAAAATATGTGGGTGCCTAATACTTTTGGCCAAGGCTGTATATATATATATATATATGCATATATGAGTTTATGAATATGATTGTTTTAGACAAAAGCAATGTTTCTTTACTAAAAGAAACTATGAACAGAATGCAACAAGAAAAGGATGACCTAATTAATGAGAAAAGTGATCTTTCTTCTAAATTGAAAACAATGGCAGTCGAAAAAGAAGAGGTAATGATTAGGAATAAATTTATTATTTTTAAAATTTAATTGTAAAATTTATTGATCAATATGGTTTTGAAAAAAAAAAAAAAACTTAAGCAATGGAAAAAGGGATTTTAAAATTATTTGTTAATACGACTCAAATAAACTTAAACCTTCATCCTTGTTATGTAAAATGGCCAACATTCATAGCAAATTGTTAAACATTGATATAATACACAGACTACAGGTATTCCGAATTGTGTTCATTGTGGTTTTATACTTTTAAAAACACTGCAGATTCGTTGATCAAAAATCAAATCCTGTTTAGTCTTATAATTTTTTATGATGTTTAAAGCTCAATATTTCTGGAGTGTTTGAAAATCCATGGTAGACTTTGATAAATGAAAAATACAAAAGTTATTGGTGTTCTATCAGTTTATTTCATCTAGTTTTCATCTCTGGGTCAGGTCAGTCTAAATGCAACACAAGGTTATTATCTATGACTGATCTGACACATTTTAATTAACACATTTTGTTATTTCATCCTCATCTTCAAAATGTCCACATTATTACATTTGCAGAAAACATTTTATTTACTGTTCATGGTCGAATGTTTTCACAACTCTTAGATTAATTATACTCTTATCACATTTGAAAATAAAGTGTTGAAAAAATAAAAAGAAACAAGTTTAAATTAAACTCAGAAAACAACATTTACAATTTTCATTAAAAAAAAACATTCGTACATTAGAATGAGTTCAATAAATATCAAATATACAAATTAAGTATCCAGGCTTTTCCACTGACTTTTCGCATTTCCAATAACTATGCTATAAAAACTATAGATATATTGATAAATATTACATCATATTGGTGAAACAACATGGTGTTTTACCTATTTGTGTTAATTGGTTCAAAAACTATAACTTTGCTTCATTAACTAGGTTAGTACTGAATTGAAACCAGTGAATCATTTATTATCTATGTATGCATGTTGTGATTTCAAATGAACAGCTCTATCATAAGGTTAATATAAGGAAAATAAAAAAAAAATATCATCTAATGCAAATTGTTTGTTTATCTTTGAGAATAATGTTTTATTATATATTATTAGTTTTAATGTTAATCTATTTCTTAAAATTGGTAGTTTTTAGGATAAGCTTTTTCTAAATCGCAGTTCAAACAAAAAACAAAGAGCTTAATCGGCATTCCAATTGATTATTTATTTATTTTGGGTGACTTAATATTCTAAATAAACTTGTTTTTTTAAATTGTTGGTTCATTATTAATGGTTATGATGGCATATAAGTTACTACAATAAGCACCAGCTTCATAGTCCAGTAATCTTAACACCTAAAATGTGGGAACTTGCATCAGTTCCAGTATTTATGATTTTTTCTAAGTTTTGATGTTAGTTCTATGAATAATCTATCTTCCATGAGTAGATTATCAAAAAAATAAAAAAATATTTTTCTACTTGTCTTGATTTGATTTTTACTTTTACTTACCTATATATTTAATGTATAGTAAGAGAGATGTATATTACGATCGTGAAAATTTTCGAATTCGAGTTTTAAACGGAAATATACGTTTTGAGGTCACCTGAGTCGAAATAACCAAGTCCCACAAAATTTTGTGTGAGTGTATGTGAATAGTCTAGCTCAAAAAAAAAAAGTCCTATGAAACTGAAATTGTGTATTTAAGGTTTGCATATGCCCGGGATGTAACAGCAACTTTTTTTCGAAATCGGTAAACCAAAATTGGCACTTTGTATCATCTATTTTACACATTTTTACAATTTTTTTCAAAAACAGCTCTAACGATTTTGATTAAGCTTGGTATGTGTATTATTAAGTGGTCTTTACTATCAGCTAGGTCTTTTCCACATTGATGTTGCCTTACAGGGCTTAAATGCCCAATATTTCTTCTTCTAAGTACCTTTAATTTGGTTCATTTTGACCATCTTTCATTGTTGCAAGTAATAGTAAAATACTAAATATTAACTATGAAAGAATTTGATGCTTGACTAAAGGAGAAAAAACAAAAACATTTTTTTTTTTTTAAGTTTGAAAAATAATTTCATAATATAAAAGCAGCAATCAACCTAATGACATTATTTAAAAAACTATTTCATTGTACTTGTGTGAAAGAAATAGTGAAGTATGAAAATATTGCATAGATGAGTAAAACATATTTTATAGGTATAGATATAATACATTTACTGCAATTTAATATATCTATACCTGATTATATATTTAAATAATTAGATATCTCTTGCTGGTTACTTTTGAAAAATCATTTAACATTTTAGAAAATTAAATCAGAGAATAATTTGACGTATTTTCCATCTGTGAAATCACATTATCCACTTACAATAATGTGACAACTTTTGACCTATCGATAGCAAGCAATGAAAATCTAGTAACTCGATTTTAGTAAACTTTACAATGAAAAAATAAGAGTTTAATAGCTAATAGTAGTAAATCCATAATCATTTATTGCTTTAATATACAAATGCATTTTAAAATCTCTCTGAGTAAATATGAATATAGCTCAGAAACGGGAGTTACGAGGTTTTTATTGCCTACTGTCGATATAATTAATAGGGTTAATGCAATTTTAATGATATTAATGAGTTTTTAGCTGTAAGGTTTTAAGCTTTAGATCTGTTAAAAATGCACTTCTAAAATTTTATAATGGACCAACATTGCCAAAAAATAATTTCTATTCAAAGTAGAGCGGTAAGTGAAAGTTGTATGATTCGCACACCAGATTTTTTAAATTATAATTGTAATAATATATTTAAATAGTACGATTTACTTAAGTCTAATAATCATATTGTATACATTGGAATATTCATAGGCAATATTGTTGTATCCTCTTTTATTGTACTACTTTGAGTTTATAATACAGTTTATTAATAATAATGGTGAAGAAATTGTTGATTGTTGACTATCTGGTTGGGGGTTGTAATGAAAGATATCACACAAATAAAAATAGAAAAATATTATTTTATTTTGTGTCGACGTTTTGACCTAAGTTACAGGCCTTCATCAGGGCTGAGAAAAGATAAGATATCAGCCAAAATTATTATAAATCTATTTTAATAGGATATGAGAAAAAATAATTATCTGCTAATAAATAAATTATAAGACAGTAAAGTAAATACAGTAAAAATATGGAAAAAAAGATGGTAAGGAAAGAAGGAATTGTGTGAATTAAAGATAAATTTGCAAATAAATGGAACTTACCTCCTGTACCTAATGGGTGTTTGATTTGAGTGACACAGTCTTACCAATAGGCGATCTAATTGCTATCTGAACCATTACAGCTTAAAGCTAAAGCACTGTATATAAAATTAGATGTGTTCTATTGGTATCATTATATCTCATTATTTTCTACTCACTCATTTGTGAAATTCTTATACTTGATATTTCATTCTCAGCTTGTCATCATTATTATTCTATACTCATCATCATTCTATGTTTATTTTATCATCTCATGTATCATGCTATATTTATTTTATTTCTACTGAACTTATTATATCATCATCTTAAAACAATCACCACATCTTATTTATTTTGTGCACTACTTATGTCTCTAATCTATCTATATTACTTAATATTATTCTATAGGAATTTGGTGTCTGACCTCAGACGCACCACATTACAGATGTAGGATTTTTTTTCTTGTCATATGGCACAAAAGTGTTAATGAAAGACAGTTTTTAACTGTTTGAAAACACTTTCATAAACATTTGTCCTATTCTGTTTCTGTTTCAGCTACTAGTGACCTCAAGAAGAGGTCTACATTTCTTATGTAAGTGAAAGATAAAACGTTCATTATATTGTATTTGGCCAATGAATGAGAGGGAGCGTTTCTTATTGCGTTCACTTTTTTACTAGTTATGTGGATCCATTTCACATCTATATTGTGTCCTAAATGCTGTATTGCTTTTTTGTAAAAAAGGCTTTTTAATAGTTCCAACCTTAACTAACCCTGTTTTCTTCATTCTTGACAGAACCTCTGCCTGAGATTTCAAGTTTTCACTCCTTGATATTTCCGTGTTAAAATCATTCATTAGCACTTTCTCTCCTAAGATACCAACAAGAAGGCTGAAGCTATACTGAATGCCATTTTTGTATACCTTCAATAGACAAGATGAATGATAATTGTCAACAAGTACCTGGAGTTCTCTTGGACCATCATTTGCAGATAAGCATCTCAATCTAAAATTAAATTTCCATCCTGCAAGTAGTTCAGATGTTAAATCTTGTTGATTAGATGTTGGAAGTAAAGGAGGATCTGGCATTAAATTAGGGTTGATTGTAACCTGTAAATCGCCATAAATCTGAACAACCTCTTAATCTTTGTCAACATTTACTGCAGGGGTCACCCATGTAATGGGAGATTTATCAGATTTAACCTTTTCAATGATACCTTCCTTTAAAAGATGTTCTAGTTCTTGTTCTACTAGTTTTTGCAGAGAAAATAGGACTTTGCTTATTTTAAATGCAAAAGGCTTTGATCCATCTTTTAAATGAATATTTACCTCTTTTGTCTTAATGTTGCCCAACTCTTCTCGGTTTCTCGGTATAATTCACTGGTCCAAAAACTGCTTTGCAGACAGAGTGGGATGTGGTGGCAAATGCTCTGTGCACCAAATTAATTGGATATTCATTTCTTCCGTATATTATCTTCTGTTTAGGCAACTTTTCTATTTGTGGCAAAATAACTCTCATGAGTTTTAATAAGGCAACATTCTAATTTTAAGCAGTGGACTGTATCTTGGGATTGGTTGGTTAATGATTGTGCAAAAAATAGCTTACCATCTTTATGCCTGCTTACATCTTTGTTACCTGGAAGGTCTGCGATGACATCTAGTGCTGGAGGTGGTACTTGCTCAGTGACTGCCGATGAAGTGGGCTCGAGCCAACCAGTCTCTCTCAAGGCTTAAGTGTTATCTTTTATCTTTTAGATCTGCCCCCACCACTCGCCATAACATCTTTTATCTTTTAGATCTGCCC